CGTATGCGTACCCTGACACATGACCAACAACACATTTGACACGTATGCGTACCCTGACACATGACCAACAACACATTTGACACGTATGCGTACCCTGACACATGGGCAACCGCACATTACTTTCTGCAAGTAGTACTGATGCATCCATTTCATGAGTTAAAAATGAGTCAGTATGACCCATAGTATAGCATAGCTATGGACATGGTCTCTCCATTTTTCTTAGTGCAGGCAGGTTATTTGTAGGGGGAGAAAGGAACTGAGAATAAGTAGCGGTGGACGTAAAAACGTTGCATAACAGATCAAGCTGATGTGTTCGATATTATTTGTAGTGATGTTCGTTTTTCAAAGAACGGAGAAACTTTAAGGAAGGTGAGTTGCGGCACATTTAGTCATTTACATATTCAATATTGACATAAGATGAAACGCGATTAAACCAGCTGCACGCGATATACTGAAGAAATCATCAGTTAGCATAGCACATTTTCCGAATTAATAGTGAAAATATTTTAGATGAGTTTTAGTGGCCGGCCGGAGGCTGAATACCGTGAAATTTTACGGAGAAAACAAACTTTAGTGTCACTGACAGAAATGCAGCAAACACCACAGGGGAGAAGGCAAAAAAGGATATAAAGGGTAAAAGATTTTTTGTACTGAAAAAGGATATTCTTGTACGAAGAATAATTGCCGGTATAAAATCATAAAATATAATGATTATCGACAGTTTTTACCGTTCTTACAATATACCTCGCTCAGATTCAAAAACACACTTTTTTTTTAAACAAGGTGCACTGGTTCACCACTCAGGCTGCGTCATCGCGGACTCACCGTACCGCCGGCGATGTATGTCCCGGGAAAGACGATGCGCGAGATACTCGCCGATCCTGTCGAGTTTGTCAGGGGAGTTCATGGCATACCAGACGAGCTTGTCCATGTTGCCCTTGACGAGCCCGTCGTCAGGGTTGGGAGGGTAGATGTTGTCAACGAGGCGGCGGTAACGCGGCCGTAGCGCCCCGCAGCAACCGCACCAGCCTGCGGCCAGCGGGTGTGGTGTTAGGGTCTTAAGGTGGAGGGGTGAGGGTGCGAATATCAGCAAAGGGTGGTGATGTTTAGAGAGGAGGAGGATGGTATCAACATCTGCACTGTACATGGAGCGATGTTTAGAGGGGAGGAGAATAGTGTCAACATCTGCACCTTGTATAGCGTGTGGTAAAAACATGACACGTGTCCCGTATTAAGTGTATTTTGATGAGATGGTGAACTTGGTGATATGAATCTGATGCCTTGTATTATAACAACCGAAAGTTCATCTTGTGAAGAACACAATTCTAATGAAACAGCATTAAGGAGGTCCAATGATCCAATGCAATATAACTGGTCAAACATCATAAGCCTTAATTGCCCAAAATAGAAGAAAGTTACTTGCAGTTAACCAGACTGCATTGAAACAATGAAACATACAGAAAAAAAATACCAAAATTTTGTTCCGAGATATTTTTTGCTCCAATTATATGGACAATGAAGTAAATGAAGCTGTGGGAAGTTTAATGTTTGATCAATAACATGAGATTTAGCATTTCAGGTAGAAACATTCACATGAACAGAAACTATCATATTAAGACCAAAATTAATTAATTAGAACTTTTTTCATAATTCATTTTCAGTTCATTTTTCAAATCATATAGGTACCAATCATTTACTAAACACATTCTTTCATGAATCTTAGAATTCTGTAACATTCTAACATAGTAATAATTTATAAACCCACAGTATGGTGGACCCAACTAAATTTTTTGATGAATATTGTACAATATTTACAATATTATACACATACAAACTACAGAGGAAAACATGATAATAACTCACTGAGTCACAGGAAATGAATGTAGATGAGTAAAAGATACAGGGACTGTATATCAAATCAAAGTATGAGAAAAAATACAGACAACACACATAAAATACATTCACAGTACATATAACATCGAAATAATTACAGAACAACATTGAAATTATCAGAAATAACAAATAGCAAACTGTAGTTACTGGTTGCAAAGTAAATTCAACTTGCAATCCATCTTCATAAAGGGAAATTTATATTTATCTATCACAACTGCGCCAAGCATGCAGGAGCTCTCAAAGTTGCAGCAAGGACAACATTTTCATTGTATATATATTTTCCATATAAATAATTTACAAGTATAAATTACATATTACATATATATGGTATAGGTATTTTTCAACTAAACAAAAATATTAATGATTTGAAGTTCAATCCAATGCTTTTTTAAATGGGTATCAGCCCAAAAATTCATGAAAAATTTGAAATTATTTTGAAAATCAACTAAATTTGAATTGGGAATACATTCAAAAGATTTTTAATTACCAAAAATTTAAAGAGTAGGTAAAGTAATAGAAAAATTACACCATTATTTCAAACATTACAACCAAATAAACACTTCAACAAAAAAATATTTACACTAAGGATAATCATAAGGATTTTTCAAAACTTATACCAGAGTGCAAATAAGAAATTTATAGCAGAGTAAAAGTTAACATTTATTTCCTCTAATGCAACCTGGGTAGACTCAAATTGGCCAAATCATACTGGCTTTCCATCAAATTACTTTATTAATGGGAACAACTTGTGTACCAGTACTATTCAACTAGACAATATTTACTTAGTATGTTCCTTGACTTGCATGACTCTCCTTTATAAATTGCATTTCTGTGGAAATTATTAGGTGATAATCGGCTTTGAAAATCTTGAACAATCTCCCATTGGCAGTAATTACAGCATTTTGAGCACACATGAAACCTTGACAGGAGGCCAGCAATACTACCTGCCATGTTGAGGAACTTATTAGCCAAATCTGCACGATGTATTGGGATGACAACACCACAGTAATCACACGTACCTTGCAGCACAACTTGAGTTAGAAAATGCAATCAATGGTTGCCAGGCTATTATTGCTCAAATTGGGAAGCATGCAGTAAGTAAGTGAGTAAATTAGTGAGTAAGTAAGTGAGTAAATTAGCTTCTCAATTAGTAAGTGTAAAAATTCACTGAGAAGCTAATAAATTCAGGGCAGGCAATCGGACTTGCATGCACATTGTAGGACATGCAACCAATCAGCACAACTTGCACAAATCTTCAGGTATATCAATGCATTTATGTAGTAATCTATATTTTCATTTAATAATAATTCTCCACAGTGATACATTTTTTATTTTATTCAAATCAGAGAATAATGCATTAATTACTAGTACCATTTAAATTTTCTGCCATTTCAAGTTCACTGACATTTTACTACAATATATTACACCATTGAACCACATGTATACCTACCTACCCTAAAAATAGATAAAGATGATTTAAAATAAGTTCCAAACCACAAATAAAATTTTCATGACCAAATTTGTTATTGCCATTGACTTGTAGACTTAAGTTGAATTAAAGGTGGCAACACTAAACATGAATTGACCCTACATCATCAATCAAGAAATGAACAGCTCAGATAGAAAGTATAAGCCGGTCATCAGTACCAACAAGCTTAGCATGGCAAGCTTATCAAAGAACATGGATACAACACTGACAAAGGATGTGGTAGACTATTAATTAATATTGTTATTTGAAAGTCTTGCATTATTACTTAAAATATTTTATAACCTATATTTATTCAAGGTTGCATACGTACTTAACAAGTTTCATGGTAGAAGAAGAAAATTACCGTAGTATGAAATATGGAAGTGATGAAATGATGAGGAAAAGTATCTAACAATTCTAAGAGTGTGTTTCCGATTTCCAATAAGATTTTTCTCAAAACTAATGAAAAAATTCCATTCTTTTTTTCACAAAAATATAATACCGCATATCCTTCACAGAACATAATGTTCAATGAAGAGGAAATAATGTTTGATAGCAGCTTTCTTAGCCATAAGGCATCACATTTGAAAGATGAGGTTTTCATCAAATGATAATATTGAAAACTATTTTCAGAGATCACATTAGCTTTAGGCTACTTTAAAAAATAGTTATCAGCAAGATGTGAGGAGTTCATAAGACACTTATAACCATTAAACAACCAGTAAATAGCAATAGCCAACTAGTATATATATGTATCTGGTTGCAGAAAAATGCATGTTCACTAATATAAAAAATGGTGTCATTTTTTTATGAAAAATTTAGATTTCAATTATATACTTAATCATAAATGTAATTTGACAATGCATCATTATCATCCACATTATGGCCCATTTGCATGAAGTAATGATATCAGATTGAATGAGTGATTGATCTACGTGTTCAGTTATTACCTTATTTTTATGATAAAATTAGTCTTAGCCAAGTATTTAAACAAAACATCTCAACAGATGAGTCATCAAGAATATTTTTACAAACGTATCATGCAACAGTAAGTACCAGGTGCAGGCATAATAAAAACAATTACATAACAAATACAAAACTATAACAAGTGCAGGAACATGCCCACAGGGTGAACATGGTACACATACACCTGGCATCTATGCACTTAGACGACACCTCCTTCTCAAAGCAGCATGAGAGGAGCCCAGGCATGACGTGACTGGATGACTCAAGTTACGTCAAGTTCTCCATTGATACTTATAGATTGTATCCTTCTCAATTTAGATGAAAGCAGCAGAATGCAAACAAACATGGTCAAATAATTATTGTGGCAATTCATTTTATGATAAAAATATTTAATCTTTGAGAACCATTTGCTGAAAATGTCAGTCTGAAAGGTAGGTATGTGACATCTAAGTTAGGGGTCTAAGAAATCTCCCACCATCAACAATTTCAACATGAATTATGGGGTCAATAAATAGTAATGAATTGCTAGCAAATCCCTCATTTTAAAAATACAATACAATCCTTCATCAATTCAAGTATAATCAGTCATAATATCAAATCGGCTCTCATAACTTTTTAGTAGTATATCATGATTTAAATTTACCTGAAACCAACTCATACAATGTAAAAAATTGAGGAGTAGAAGCATGTAGACCAAGTCACCAAAACAATAGGAAAAATTTTCATGTTGCCACACATTAGCTGGGACAAGAGACCATAATCATTTTTTGCCCATGAATCAAAATACAATTCTTGTTGGTCAAGTTTCAAATCATGGTACATAATTTAAACCATCAAATAAATAGGAACTAAATTTAGTTTGCCTATTGCAAGTTTCTAGCACAAGATTGGAAATTTGCTACTCAATATTAAAATTTCATAACTCCAAAGTGACATACCTATATGATAACTTTGTAATAATGTGGCTTGATTTTGAACTATTGTTAACAATATATAATTCATTTAGTTTCATTAAAAAGAATGCTAGTTTGGCTCAAAATTTCCTTATAATTTAACTTCTCTAGTTGCCTACCATTGCTAAGTAGGTACTTTTGGTTCTAATAACTTTGAAATATTGCAAAGGAATAGTTTTTAAAACTTTTCCACAATTTGTTTCAAGCAGACTCAATAAAATGTAGCTAAAATGAGAGTAGGATGCTGAGGTGAAGGCTGCCGGCAAGAGACTGATTGAAGGAATGATTGGCAACTGCAAAACGAGCTCGGTACATCAGTAGGATTAAAAATTTTCAACTATGAAGTGTAAGGGTTTATGAGGATCCTGTTTTTTGGCTGTTTAGGAATGTCTGGTTTTGTAATTTCAATATTACTTCCATTATTAGTAACCTGTTGAAATCTGTTTTGTGGCAAAGGATTACAGCGTTTTGGACAAGTTCATCCCATGTAAGGGCTGTGTCGTAGTTATCTTTTGCATAGGTTTTGGGTCTTCGGGAAGCTAGAGGCATAGTTAGTTGTCTGGATAGGGCGTAGTGGTCATGCCAATTTAGAAATGGTTGCAAAGCTTGCACTCTCCGCAGCTGCTGGTGTATTGGTATATTGCATTGGTCTGCTGCAATGGTGGCTGGCTTGGTAATGTAGGTATTGTTTCTTGATATCAAGCTTGTTACAGTAGGGCTCTTGTAATAGATTATCAATTGAATCCCATCATTGTTGTTTGTGCATCATATGTTATTTTTAAGGATTTGTTGGTGGGTTCCCTGGTTTATCTTGTGCCTTGCCATGTTTAATTTCTAACAGGTGATTGTCGCGGATGCTGTCGAAAAGACTATTTGCGTACTATCCATTGTTCATGCAGTTGCCACGTTAATAAAATTTTGTAAGTACAGTGGATCACAGCTTTTTATTTTGTTGCTTTTTTACAGTTGTGCTTGTGGGCACTCAATTTTGGCATTGATGTAGATCCTGTTATTACGTAGTTGTTTTTTGATAGATGGATGTGATGAAATTTTTGCTGGCTTCTACATTGACATCCAAGAAATTTATTCTATTACCAGTTCTTAATATAGAATTTAATTTTAGAATAGATTTAATTTCAAATAGATTCTTGAGCTGCAAGACTGTATCATTTGACTTGGTAACTATGAAATAATCATTAACATAGGTATATGAAATAGACAGGGAATTTCAATTGTGGTTGTCCAGAATTTTGTTTTCAAGTGCATTTATAGAAATTAGACAGAGTAACTCCTAAGGGGCTTGCAATGCTGACCCCATTGCTGTGGAGATACAATGAGCCATCAGTATGAGTAACAGCAATCATATCTCACAGATGCCAACCATTCCTTCCATCAGTCTCTTGTTAGCAGTCATCACTTCAGCATCCTACTCTTATCTTGGATACATTTTACAGAATCTGCTTGAAGATCTCTACTATGAGCATAATGTGTTGCAAATTTTAGAACATTATTCCTTTGGAAAAATTAAAAATTATTAGAACCAACAGTAGTTGGTAAGGTAAGGCAACTAGAGAAGATAATTAATAAGGAAATTTTATGCAAAATCAGCATTATTTTTATTAAAACATGCTTATATGAATCACAGAGTGCTTAGGCATGTGCCATGTGGTGCCAAATTTTTGCCTTCAGAAGATCTTGCCGACACATTTAGATTTAAATTCTTGCATTTAATATATTTCTCAGTCTTTGGCCAACTATTTAGAAAAAAAGTAAGGTTTCCGGTACGTTGGATGGATTACGATGCAGCGAAGCTTGTCCGGAAATCAGTTGCGATGAGTTCCCGCAAAAAATGTAAACAACGTTTTTTCGATTGCGTAGTTTCGGTCACATTAGAGCGGTCAGACTGCTTTATTACGTGTTCACTTGACACTTGCTGTACAATCGGACTGTTTTTAGGGTAAAATTAGTTATTTGGGGTAACACGTGCATGCAACCTTTAAATAAGTTCGTGGCTTGTAAATAG